AACTGTTACCAAGTGAGTTTTGTTTCTTTTTGTAACTTTTGCCAAAATCGGTCTTCTTGAAAACTTCCAAAATAACAGCCTCCCACATAACAGCCTTCCACATAAACCCCCAATCTAGGCTAAAACTACAAAATCATTGAAGGAGAGTTCTTAAGGCCAAAATGTCTCCAAAAAGCTTTTAGTAGACTTAATGATTTGTTACTCAGTAACAAATTGCATCTTCCTTGACCTCCTTGTGCCCTACCCATAGTGCTCTTTTAAAGCAAGTTAGAGGGGTGCCTGGGTGACTCAGTTGGTTAAGCATCTGCCTTCAGCTCAGGTCATGATCTCAGGGTCCTGGGATCGAGCCCCAGATTGGGCTCCTGGCTCAGTAGGGAGCCTGCTTCTCCCTCTCCCTTCTGCTCATGCTCTCTCTCACTCTCTCCCAAATAAATAAAATTAAAAAAAAAAAAAAAAGAAACTTCTTAAAAAAATAAAGCAAGTTAGAGTAATCCTTTCAGAGCTGGAAGGGACCACTGGGATCATTTACTGCAAAGGTCTTATTTTAGGATGAAGAAACTGAAGCCCAAGGAAAGGTAAAGTGAGTTCTCTAAGGTCATGCCGTTACCAGGAAGCTGAGCCTGACCTTGAACTCGAGAATGCCAGGCAAAGGTTCTTTTCATTTCACCGAGTCCTCCAAAAGTACAATGATCAATTTTTGTGTGCGGTGAGAACATTTAAATTCTGCTCTCCTATGTGAGCTGACGGATATGTAAACTAACCTTATTGTAGCAATCATTTTGCAGTATATATGTGTATCACATCATCACGTTGTACACCTTAAATATACATAATGTTATATGTCATTTATATCTCAATAAAGCTGAAAAATATACAATGATCAAAAGTGTTTCATTGCACTTAAAGAATTCAATGTATGCCCCATGACATAAGAAAATCTACCTAATGTCTGCTTGAAAATTATCATCTCATTTCTCATTCCAACTACGTACGGAACGATTCATGCAGGATAGCTGTATTAGAGAATCTTCAGTGGGTATATTCATTTACATAAATTGTCACTTTCATTTTCTATTTCTTGAAACTGAGAAACTTCAGATAAATGTAGATTTAGTTTTCCTACCCCAGACTCTCTAAACCATCATTTTGAAATCAAATTACACAGCTTATGCTTAAAACATAAGGGCCAGATTCTATCTTCCAATACACCGCCCACTCTCTAACAGCAGAATTTGGCCCTAAAAACCCATTAACAAATATTGTCATTAAACTAAAGAGCTAATTACTTTGGATTCAGACAGAATGAACAAAATCATAGGCCAACCGCAGCTGGTAGTAATAATGGTGAGACTAACCGTATGTTACACTGGAGATTTAAAGAACAAAGACATATTAACACTAATGTAACCAAACATATAAAATTATCCTCCAAATGGAGGAAACTGCTATAGTTGGAAAATTCTTGAAAGCACATTGGAATTATCCGATACAAGAAATAAAGGATATTTCTAAGGAATTAATTGTCATAATTTGAAGTTATCAGTGTTTAATGAAGAAACTGAAAATTTTAGTGTATTGCAATATCCACAAATGAAGAGTTATATCTAAAAATCATTTTGTCTAATTGGAAGTACTATCTTCATATTTAGATCAGTTTAATACTACAAGATGCAAGAGCCTTGCTTTACGGCTATTTTTTTTTAAATTTTATTTGTGACTGGCTACTTTTACTTAGCATTAGATTTTCAGAGTTCATTCATTTCATAGCTTGTACTAGTGTTTTATTCTTTTTTTTTTAATAGGATAAATTATTATTTTTATTATTTTTATTTTATTATGTTATGTTAATTACCATACATTACATCATTATGGCTATTTTAAACAAACGTTATCAGGACTACCTTATAGTTCTATAAATTTCCCAGATAACTGAATATTTTCCCAACCCTTGAAAAATATTTTCAAATTATATTAATAATACATAATTTAGAGAAAGTTTTACATACCCTGACAAGCAATAAAAATCAAACATAATTTATCAGTTGAGCATAACCATTAATAATATTTTGCTATATATCATTCCACTTTTCTTCCTATGCATCTGTCGTTCTTTTAATAAAAATGGGACCACATCAAAACATGGTTTGTAACTTGTTGTTTTCATTTACAGTATATTATGAGCATTTTGTTCACATCAATAATTATACTTTTACTACAGAAATTTTAATGACTTTGCAACTTCTTAAATTGAGAATAATAAACACATTTTAATCTTTTCGGGTATTTTACAAATATCATTATTATACTGTTTCATAATAACACTAACACTCTCCAGAGATTATTACCCAGCTAAGTCTCCTTTCTCCCCTACTAAATGGCCCCAGATGGCTCTACTGTTCTAAAGCTGTATGTGACTTTTAGCTCTTTTTCTCCTTCAATATCAGATTTCCATATAAAGCTGACCAAACCTGACGTAGACCTAAATTGGCTGTTTTCATTTTTAGATTAATGACATGAAAGATTATCTACTGACAATGAAAATAATTAACAATTTTAAGTTCAATTACACTAATAAGTACTCAGGTATTCTCTTCACTTCTTCAACCTTCATCTAGGATGAAAAATTTCCTTCTAAACTTCCTTACCCAAGAAATCATTATTGAAAAACATTTGCTTAGTTTGTCTTGTTAAAAAGTCACACCTCGCCAGACTGATGTTGACTGCTCTTTGTATTAATACAGCAAGTTTAGAAGAGAAAAAATGCAATTATATATGAGGGGACCAGACTAGAAGATCTTAATGGTCCATTTCTGCTCTAAAACTTTATGCTGCTATGCTTTAATAAAGTTTCTATAATTTATTCTTTTGTTGTATATTTTCCTTCCTGAGTATGGAGGCTGTCTCACTCAGGTTCCCTGAAATTACATAGTAAGTTTTCTTTAAGGAGTCACAACTTAAGATAAATATGCCGATGATAATGAACGTGACTCACTTGAGGACACTATTTCATTCTCTCTCTACCTGCTCCTCTGCAAAGAAAAAAGGAAAAGAAAAAAAAGAAAAAGAAAAAGCAGAAGAGTAGTTTCTATGTTTCTCTGAAATAAAAATATTACAGAAGACTTGCACTAAAAGCTTTATTAAATATTACTTGAGAACTTCTTTGAACCATAAACTTGTATGGTACCTATTTGAGGATTTTACAGTTTGGGTACTACAAATTTTAGGATTTTATCGTCAGATGTGGCAGTGAGAGCTTTGCCTATTGAGAACAATACTGACAACAAATGCATGTGAAAATTCATTATTACATTAATCTAATTCTGTAAATCTATAGATTACTTGAAAAAAGTGCTGCCTTGTTTTATGCATGTCTATATTCATTTTCTTTGTGTAATACTAATAACTAATATGTGTTGCTAATTGCCGCCATGGGGATATACTTTTTTTTTTTTTAAGATTTTATTTATTTATTTGACAGAGAGAGACACAGGGAGAGAGGGAACACAAGCAGGAGGAGTGGGAGAGGGAGAAGCAGACTTCCCACTGAGCAGCGAGCCTGATGTGAGGCTTGATCCCAGGACCCCGGGATCATGACCTGAGCCGAAGGCAGATGCTTAACGACTGAGCCACCAAGGCGCCCCTACTTTTTTTTTTTTAAATTAAGGGTTTATTTTTGCCATTTGGTATTTTATGGACAAGAAACTTTACAATATGAACATGTGCACACAAAAACTGACAGAAAAAATGTCTGTAAGGCTACAATTCAATCAGAGGATTTTAAAAACCTCACTCTTCACTACAAAATAAAATCATGTTGTACCCTTAAGGAATCATCACAATTTCAGTTCTGAATATGCCTCTACTAATCACTTTTATCACTGGAGCAAAAAAAGCAAACTTTACATAAACTTAAAATTGCACATAATAAGATGAAATTGCTAAATGAGATAAAGAAATATAATAAAGTGATATTCAATAAATGTGCCTGTTACCTGTTATAAAGATATCACATGATTTAGAAGTTTTTACCCACAAAGGACAATGAGTAGCTAATGATGTGTTAAATAGATCTGTTTTTTTGAAAATTTAACACTGACTTTTCCAAATGAAGAGAAAAAGAAAAAAACCTTCAAAAATGAAGAAATGCTTAGCTGACTCTGGTAATAACTCATTATTTCTGTCTTCTTAGATAGTTCTTGGAATTGATCCAGTAAGTATAAACATCTGAATAAATTAGAACATTACAGAAAACAGAGAGCAAGCTAAAGACAGCGATGAGAGCATGCTCACTCTGAAAGCAATATAGGGACCGCTGGGATTTAGCCCATCATACCAAACTTGAAAATCAAGGTGTATCAAAGAGAACTAAGAATTCAATTTGGGGGGTGTGTGTCAAAAAAGGAGCACTAATTTAGCACCTCTGTGCTAAGTGTGCCTTTCTTATTTATTCTTGTAGCTGAAGGAAACAAACAACATAAAACCCCATTTAATATAAAGTTTGAAAATTAGAAGTATATTGTTTTGAAAGCCAACTTCAGCATTACCCAAAGGACCAAGACCCACCTTCATCAGGATCATTTGGGGGCAAGTAAGTAAAATGCAGGTTGCTGGGTCACATCTGAGATGCAATGAATCTAACTCTCTGTGAAATATGCCCAGGAGTCAGAATTTTACAGACCCTAACCCCCCTCCACGTGACGCTCACCCACATTACAATTTGAGAACCACTGTGATTATCATGATTTTTTTGTGTGAAACTGATTATCAGTTATCAAGTTTACCACTGAACCTTGCTTGTATTTACATTGACATGACATATAACGACTTTCAAAGTTTGCATTTTATTTTCCCTTCTTGGTGTGAACTGTTCATAGATGGCTATTTTCCCCACATTCAGTAACTGCTTTTACTTTTATATATTTTGTTAAATATATTAAATATTCACTTCTGATGTAATTAAGAGTACACAGCAATGTGAGTTACTTCCAAAATTCACTTACCTTCAAATCCTTATGCTTATTCAGAAAGTTCTGAGCATGTGTGATAGAAATTTTCAAGAAGAATATATGCAGTAGATTCTCTAATTTCCATGTATTTCAAGGCTGGCCAAGGAGACTCCTGGAGCGGACACCAGAAAAGCCATTGAGAAGGGAAGACACCAATGCTGGAGCCTCTGGGTACCTGATTATCTTTGAACAGAAGAGAAACACAAGTAGTCGGTCACCTGAAATTCATAGAGAATCTGCTATGGAGAAGGTTATTTTCAGTAAACGGGCAGTGTTACTAAATTTAAACTTGGCCTGGGTTTGCTGCTCCCTGATTTAGCACAGATGTCATTTAAAATTTCATGTCATTGTGAAGGCAGAATTGCATGATGATGCTGCCTGCAGAGGATTCTGGTTGAATTCATATGGCTTTAAGTGACTATTTCTTCTAAACACTGCATCAAGTGGTATTACTTAATTTTATTTTTGATATGCAGATGCTAGATTTTGGTGCTGAATTTCTTTCTAAGTCAAGGTTGATGAGTTCTCTTGGAAATATATCCTTACGTGAGCCTCTATCACAACCCATAAAAGATAAAATGTGATACTTTTACAAAATCCCAATGGAATCATCTGGTACTTTTGCTATATTTTCTTTCACATGGGTAATGCTTGCCAAGATAATTAGACATAAACAAAAATAACATCCTTTCTAGTCAATATGTGTTGCCTCCTCAGGGAAACCAAAATTCTAGCACTTTGCTGAATGAGTTAAGCAGACATTGGTAGGGGCTAATGGAAAAAGATTAAAACATCTGATTTTAAAACTGGTAATTGACAATGCAAATATTCTAAAGAGTAGAGAAAACAACATATACAGATAAATACAAAGTCAAATACAAAGTGACAAGAGTATAATATACATGTAAGCATAGAGTACACTATAAAACAATAGTTTTTCATAGAAGACTTTAATATTTGGCCACCCAGAAACCATTCCCAACTTTCTTCTTCCTTGCTACATGCCACAAATAAAGTGAAAATCAAATCAAATGTTCACTTTCCCCATCCCCCTATGGCTAAGAATGGTTATGTGATTCCATTCTTGCCCATTAGCTGTAAGAAGCTATAAGAAGTATGCTGGGTAAATCCAGGCAAAAATTTGCTTTATCACAGAGGGAGACAAACCATGAGAGACTATTAACTATAGGAAACAAACTGAGGGCTGCTGGAGGGGAAGTGGGTAGGGGGATGGGGTAATTGGATGATGGGCATTAAGGAGGGCATGTGATGTGATGAGCACTGGGTGTTATACGCAACTGATGAATTACTGAACTCTACATCTGAAACTAATGATGTACTATATGTTGGCTAATTGAATTTAAATTTAAAAATTTGCTTTCTTGATGAGAGATTCCTGTCCCTCTTCTCTATTTCACATAATTGCTTGCCTTGAATGATGAGGATGCGATAAGTCATCTTATCATCATGATGTAAAACACAATGAAAATCTAGAAAAACACAAAGGTATAGGTCCTCCGTTGATGAGCTGCTGAACCAACACTACTAACTGCTTCCTTGGAATTCTATTTGTTTACACTGCTGGGTTTTCTGTTGCTTGCTAACAGAATCATTGCAGGTTGAGAAACTGTTGAAAAAGCATTTGTTAAAAAGTAAATGCCATTGCTATAATTGTAGTGATATCTATCTTTTTACATTATTATCTGCAAGTTCTCATTCTGTGGAGTCAAGGACAGCCTTTATTAGGCTGGTTGAGGTTGGAACTTGCTTTCTTTTTTACTTCTAGGAGAGCTGTACATGTGGGGAATAATGGGTCACAGGATAATGGTAACTAATTAGAATAAAATGAAATGGACAGCCTAGTCTAGAGCTGGGTTTGGAGGAAGAGGGTCCAGTATCATGGTTAATAAAAGGATCTCATCTTTGCTTTAGTGCCAAAGCTATCCCATTAGTTGAAATCTCAGTGGAAGAGTTTGAAATTCCATTACAAAATTCATTCTTAATATCTTGTGACGTCCTGTGGGTTCTGTTTGAAATATTGTTCCATCCATCACTTCATTACTTCTTTTCATCAATATTCATCACAGTCTGAGCTTTCACTATCTCTTTCCTAGACTATTGCTATAGGCTCTTTAACAGATTCTCTTCTTCTTATTTTTCTTAAACATTCCAGTGTGTCCTATAATTACTTTAAGATTTAACTTCTTAAAACATTTCATTAGATCCCTCTTCTGTTCAAAATATAAGAGCTCCTTTTGGTCTATTGGATTAAGTCCAAGGTCCTTAAATCGGCATTTAAGTCTCCCCATAATATAGACATAATTAATAATAAAATATAGATTCTTCTAGATTTCCTATCTCCCTTCCCTAACACTCTACATGGTTTGGTGGGAGGATATGTCTCCACTGCAGAGGTGCACCTAAGTAGCTTAAGATAATCCATCTATCTCAATCTTTACCTACAATTTTAGGAATAAGCACATGACCTTAAGAGGTTAATGATCTCCATTCTGGGGTCTTCTTTGACCTATTATGTAAAAAAACAACTTTTGCTTTTCTTGCTGGACATAAGCATGTGATCATGTAACATTTGGAACTACTGGCAACCATCGTGGGATCATGAGAGAACCTGCCACAATTTCAGTCAACACCAAGGAAATAGCTGAGAAATAGAAAAAGAGGAGCTGTGTCTGAGCATGTTGTTTCACCCCTGGACACAGTTTTGCTTGTAGGTAGAATACTCTGAACTTTTCAGTTATGTGTGAATTTATAGACTCTTTTTAAAAAATTATTAGTAGTAAGCCAATCTGGGTTGGTATCCTCTATTACTTGCAACCAACAAGAACTTTGCACTGTATTTATGTTTTTGTGCATCTGCCATTTCAATCATTCCTACTTCTCTCTTATTTCTATTCTTTCTTTAAGAAGATCAAGCCCTCTTCCTCCATGATACATTTCCAGATTCTTCTAATTCATAGTGAGAGAACTCTAATTTAAACCATGTTATTTTTCATTGTATGTACTAATAAGAGCACTCACTAAGATATATGATGCTATCATTTCATTCTGACTCTCAAATCTTCAGCTTAACATTTTTTTCTCTTATCTCCCGATTTTTATTTCTAACTGAATAGTTGACATCTCAACTTGGATGTCTTGAAGGCTCTGCAACCTGAATCTTTCTATAACCAAACTCATAAAAACCTTCCTCTCAAGCACAGCTTTCCTCTAGTTTCCCTGTTGTTGTTTTTTTTTAAAACACCACCATCAACATCAGTTGGAGAAGCCAAAAACCAAGATCTTCAACATTTGAAAACGGAATCAGAGTAGATTTGATTCTTCTTTTCTCCTTCAGCCCCAGGATTTGATCATCAAGCCCTTTTGATTTTATTTCCTAGTTTTCAAATCTACCTACTTTGTCCATTTTCTCTCTATATCCTCTCCAAATTCTCTCTCCTGCTCCACTACCATCACCACCACCACTAAGACATTATCTGTTGCCTGGAATGCTGCTTAGATTTTTTTCTTTCTCCCATCTCACATTTTGTTTCCCTCCAGTATTTTTTCTTCGGGGCATTTAGAGTGATCTTTTAAAAATACACAGTGGAATATCAATTGTTTGTTTAAAAACGTTCAATGCCTTCCCACGGCTCTTAGGGTAAAGAACAAGGCCATATCACCCAATCCCTACCTAACTCTCCAGCTTCATCTCCCTGGAGGACAGTGACCATTTCTGTTTTTAAATACACTCAAGTTTAAAAAAACCCAACATTCATCAGAATGTTTAGCACATAATAGGCACTCAATAAATATGTGTTGAATGAGTAACTGCCTGGCAGTAACTCTTGAACCATGAACCACACTTTGTTATTTTTTCTTGTATATTCTATTTTCTGTGTTACTTGTAAGTACATTGAAGATAAAGAAGTGTCATGTTTCTCTGTAACCTACAGCAGAATGCTATGTGAGTAGGAGGAGCTCAGAAGGTATTCAATTACATTGCTATTGATATTTCTACTCTGATTCCTTTTTAAAAGGTTGAAGTTCATTTTCTCACACAATGGGTAGTTATCACTTGTCTATAAGATTAAAACTGAATAAGGGGAAATTTATTAGGTGCAAATAATGGAAGTAAAAAATAGAAAACTTGTTTCCGATCACAATTCTATGGAATTTGCACAGGTTAATTATAAAGGACCTGTTTTTCTGCATCACATGGAAAAGCTTCACATAAGCCCTGAGTTATGTGGACAAACATTCAAACATCATGTTTGTAATTTTCACTGTCATTTTTTCAAATATTTTATATTTTTCTTTAGAAGTCTTTACCTTTGAAAAATATAAGCAAAATTCAATACTTTAAATAATTAACAGCTGAAGTCTTTTTTGGGTAGAGACTGATTTTGGAAAATTAGGTATCCCAAGTACAAATTAATTCTTAGTTATTGGATATTTACCTGAAAGGGTAAAAAAGAATTTCAGAGATTCAAAGGTAGGTATGAAATTTTAGCCTATGCTATAAACTGATATTACCCAAAATCAGAGAAATATTTCTTAGGGTAGCCTAAAATGAGAACACACATGAGCAACCCAAAAGCAATGAAACAGGAAGACACAGGGATGCATGCTTCTCAAAGGCTTCTGACTATTAGCTGTGGCCAGATAATGTTTTCCAAGTTGGGGAATGACAAATGGAATTAGGATTGAGGAGAGCTAAAGGAGGAAAGGCCAAGAAATACAAGAGTAGACAATGTGAATTTTCTACCTGAAAAAAAAAAATTTTTTTTAAAGGTTTTATTTATTTATTTGACAGAGAGAGCGAGAGAGCACAAGCAGGGAGAACAGTAGAGGGAGAGGGAGAAGCAGGCTTCCCGCCAAGCAGGGAGCCCGACGTGGGGCTCGATCCCAGGACCCTGAGATCATGACCTGAGCTGAAGGCAGACGCTTAACCATCTGAGCCACCCAGGCGCCCCATGAAAAAAATTCTTGAGCAGGTTTGACCTTCTGTTTCTTAAAAATTAGTTGAAGTTTGCCTAAGGGATATTTATACAAGAGATAATTGCCTTTGGGTTTCTACAGGCCTGTTGTTCAGTTATAAATATCTTCTAGTTTTCTCAGGATATTGAATCTGTTAGGGAGTTTGTAAAAAATTTTTTTTAAAAAAGGAAAGAAATAAAAGACAA